TGAGATCAGTCTGTCTTTTTTGTTTTTCCGCATACTTCACAATCAAACTGCAAAACCCATCTATTATCTATAGAAACAGAACCTGCTGCTTTCCTGTGAGTGACGAGTGATGCGGCAGCTTTGTGGCTCTGATAATAAGAAATGTATGTCTGTTATGTGCCCACATGATGGAATTTGCATACTTACATTCCCCCCCCACCCCGCCTTAACCCGGGGCTACATAGGTGATATGTGGGCGTTTTTTAGAAGTGGAGAGAGGCGCAAATATTTGGATGTTTCATAGTGACAACTGTTCAGAAAGCCATTTATCTCAGAGACAAATTTGGTAAATGATTGAAAGAGAAAGATATTGTTCCTGAAAAACAATCCAGCAACAGCTAAACTGTTATAGGATTTTTAAAAAAAGTTTACATCTTACATGACTGAATGAGTTCATGCTGTGCAGTAACACTGAACAAGATAAAGACGAACCACATGTGATCATAAACTCATTAAGATAAATTAAAATCTACATTTTACATTCATCAACAGTCCAACCTTTCCCACAGGTTTACAGAAAGGGTTTTTAATAATACCGTAATACATTTTATCTTTAAAAAGCGCCTTTTATGCCACTCAAGGACACTTTACAAAGACGATCGTCATTGAAACAAAATTGAAACATAAAAAAAACATACAAAGTCAATAAACATCATAAATAAATAAAAAAAATTGTGCAAAATGAGGGGAGTTATAGGTGGTGAGGTGGGTAAGAAATTTTAAACAGAATCAAAGAACAAGGAGAAATACACTCTGAAACCGAAAATATTTGGTCTTTAAGATACTAAAATAGTTTGTTTGAGAAAGCATTCTTATATCTTCACATTTTATTTGTTACATATTTTTTTGGAAAAAAAATTTCAGCTCCTTGCTCTTAAAATCTGGAACAGTCTCCTGAAGATGTGAGACAGGCTTCAACTCTGAATGTTTAAATCCAGATGAAAACATCTGTTTAACTGCTGATGGAAAGTGGATGGATTTTATCTGGACCCTTCACTTTTCATCAATCTAATTTATATTATTTTTCTTCTTTTAAATTCTCTGTGAAGCACTTTGAAGTGTCTCGTAAACAAAATGTGCTGTAAAATAAACTTGCCTTACATAATTTTTTGTCTTTAAAAAAATAAAATAAAAAATAATAAGGTGGAGGAAACGCTTGGTTTGAGTTAGAAAACATATTTCTTAAAAAAATAAATAAAAAAATAAAAAATAAAAAAGCAGTCACAGTTTATTTAAACCAATCAGAGGGAACAGACGTCTTTCACAATAAAACGACTGGAATTAAACCAGTCCCACAGACTCATAGCAGAAAAAAAAGACTTGCATAATAACTGAGATAAACAGTGACAAACACAGGAAACATAATAATAATAATAATAATAATAATAATAATAATAATAAGCTCACCTCCCGGCCTGGATCCCCTCCCAGGTCGAGGACAGTTTGATGAGCACGCGCTCCTTACTGATACCGGCCTCCTCGTACAGAGCGATCAGCTTCAGGGCTCGTTCCACCATTTCCTCTTTATCGAAAGACAGCCTGGAAACAGACAAAAGTTTAACAAGGATTCATGTTCATACCTTTAAATAATTGGAGATTCTGTGGTTTACAGATATTAATCAAATCCTGACTCTGATCACGCTGTCATTTTTTTTTTTTTTTTACCCTTTTTTTTTTTTTTTTTAATGAGGTGACACTCCAAGTTAACCCTTTAAAGTCTGATCCAAGAATAAAACAAAACAGAAAATTACTTTTTTTGTGTTTGAATTCATTATTTGGCCTTTTAACAAAATATGTAAAAAGAAAAACGAGAAATACATTTTTAATACTAAATTTATTACTATGCGATAAGTCAAGATTATTTTTTGAGTAGTCTTCTGCCCCCTGTTATCAGGTGTATCTGATTGTGTTCAATAGGATTTTTAGCAAAGTTTTTACCATTAAATTTAGCAAAAGGTGTCAGACGCAAAACATTTCAGAAACCGTATGAATCAAATATGATTCATTTGGCTTTACAGGGTTAAGTCCATTTCCCCAAAGTTCTGATCAAAAGTGTCTGCATCTTATTTTGTCTAGAAAAAGTTCACATTTCAGGTTGTTAAAGATTTTACCAACTGATAAAGTACATTTTTTGTCATTTCTATCTTCAATATCCAGTCTCGTGTCATAAATTCCTGTGGATAGAAACATTTTCTACCCTGTTAATAGCAAAAGAATCAAATTTAATCCTCTGAAAAATTCAAGTATTTCCATGTCATGGTTATGTGGAAATAAATAATAAACACCACCCCAGTTATTTGTGTCCCAAAGTCTTGTGTTGAGTAACGGTCTGTGCTTTTGGCCTTTGGAAGTGGATAGAAACATTTTCTACCCTTTTAATAGCAAAATAATCAAATTTCATCCTCTGAAAAATTCAAGTATTTCCATGTTGTGGGACTGTGGAAATAAATAAACAAAATCCCAGTTATTTGTGTCCCAAAGTCTTGTGTTGAGTAACAGTCTGTGCTTTTGGCCTTTGGAAGTTAGTTTAGATTATTTTATTATTTTACCTGGCGTCCACCTCTGTGGAAACTCTTCCCGGGACCTTTTTGAGAATTTCCAGTCCGAAACTCACAAACAGTTTGTCCATCGTGTTGGCGACCTGCTCCTCCTCGTTTCTGAACACAAAGGGAAACAAACAGAGAGAAAAGTGGTTTGAGGGCGAGTTCTGCTCATTAAGAGCTCATCAATTTACAGCCAATTGGAATTGAATATGTACTTTATTGATCTCCAAGGAGAAATTGACTAATTAGGCCAGTCATGTGACTTTGTAATAGGGTTGTCATGATACTAAAATATGCAACTGGATACCGATACTCAGGAAAATATTCGATACTCTATACCATTTTCGTTACAAGGATAAAAACAAAGACCCCAAATTTAACTGAATTTTGACAGGTTAGTGTCTTTAGTTTAAAACTGACCTATTACTGATGTTATGGCCAGTGGCCCCCATTAATGACCCTAACCCTAACCCCTTCATAATTGTGAGAAATAAATATTTTTTGGTTAAACTTGTTTGGACTTATTGTACAAACCTATTTAACATCCACT